AGAAACTTTCTGCTCGATATTTTTAATATTCACAATTACTTTAAATTGGGAACGTTTTCACAATTGATATATTTCCAATGGTTGACGGTGAAGTTTACATTGACCAATCTCGCAAAAACTTGACAGTTGGATGCGTTAAAAGGATTTGTCTAAAGAAAAAAGCATAGTGTGAAAAAAATGAGCTTGAAAAAGGCGTGCACGTATCGGACGGAGTGTTTTGCTCTTCTCATATGAAATTCTTTAATGAAGCTTGAAACAAGCTGTGTAGCTCCAAAAAGATGGGCCCAAAAGTGGCTGCATACGGAATACATCCTCATGACGTCATATTGAAAGTGTGGACGATTTCATAAAATTACGAATGATTTCTGTATTTTAAATTATGTAAATTTTCTTCCTTGCGGTTTACACGTGCAGCGTGTAAACCCTTCACCATGCGATGACCTGCTGTCTGGACGACTCATCGAGAATGCAAAATAAAGCAAAATTTCACATGGAGACGGAAGCGAGGAAACGGCGAATATGCGCAGCCTGCAAAGGTGTCACGCCCGCTCGACACCGGGGTCGAGCGGGGGGAACCGCTAATTAGGCGCTGCTTCTCCCACTGGGAACGCGGGAGGTAATGGGGGCGGGTTGGAGGACAAGGAGGTCTAATGCGGGCAATTCGGTCGAGTCTGCCAGGGGGGAAACATTGCGTTCTCCTCACTTTGCTTCAATGGATGTCACTATTGAAACTCTTCCATGTTTTCCTCGCTGTAGAATGAATTCCCAGGGGGACGTCATATCCAGGAGATGAATGAGATCGCGGCCTTCCCGTCTTTCACCCGATGGAGCGGAAAATCTGCAGCTCGTTCCAGTAAAGTGCTCGTTGGCGCCTTCGTGCCGTCTTATTCACAGGTTTCCTGCGCGTTCATGCGAGACAAAATTTTCGGATTATGACGAAAAATATTCGCCCTCGAAAGATGACATCCTTAAAAAACGTAATAGTTATCCTTTATATCATCCTCGATTGTAGATCCATTTGTGACTTATATGCCCTGCAAAATCAGATGCAGAATGTAAAGATTTTCTAACGAGAAATTTTACTGTGCACAAACTGGACTAAAAATGTATCGACAAATGTCTACAAACTCGACTAAAAAAAAGAAGTTGAGACGGAATCGCATCAGTGAAACTATCTAGAACCGAGCCGATCTCCGCACCATCTTGAATATTGCCCTTTTTTTCGAATCTCTCGTTTCCCCACTGCCTTCCGCTTCCGTCAATCCACTCCCTTTCACTCCGTGCTCAACCGGTCTAGCGAAAATCGAAGGAAATGGCTCTCTCCACTGCGTAGTTCTCGAAGGGCCCGAGAGATTGGGATCGCATACCGCTCGCCTATTGGTGGCTATCGCTTTCGGACTCATCTTGGAATTAATCGCTACCCGCTGTCCGCGATTTCACGTTGAGGCCAATATTTGCCCTTGCCCCGATCGACGACTCGAGAGGGAAATTTTCGTCTTCACGACTCCGGCCCCTTCCGTTGCGAAGATGAAAGGGAAAAGGGCTTGTTATAAAGATATGCTGCCAATCGGACGAAAGGAGGAGATTGAATCAGAAGAATCTCCTTGCTCGATCCTTTTTCTGCGTTCTTCCTCTTTTAACTGCGAAGAGACACGAGTCAGGGAAGACCGAAACGGAACGAAAGCGATCTGGGCCAAGCATCCATCCGCCTTCACGCCGTGGCGCGGATCGTGCGTGAAGACTTAAAAGGGAAACGACCGCGATTTCTCTCCTCAGGCTAGAGCTGGCTAAACAAGGGGGGGGGGGGGGAGGAATTATTTTTGACGAGATGTGAAGGTGGGGATCGTTTCATCTCTTTGTCTTTTCGCATCTCGTTTCATATCCGCTATCATCCATCAAAGGACCCGGGAGCGAATAGATGAAGCTCGCTACCGCAATGAAAAGTGGCAGAGACACGCTCCACATGAAATCCCATCGGCTCACATGGTACATGATTCTCATCCCTCTGAAACGTGGACGAGGTAAGGATCTGGCTCTCATGATGGCAGGAAGGAGTGTGCGAGTGTATTTGTGCGTGAATGTGAGTATACGTTCGTGCCAAAAGTATGCAAAAACTCACCCTTGCAACAGATGATTAATGGAGTAAAATGTGACCGCGTGACTCTAACCACGCGAACGTCCGGCAGGAAGTAAATAGTCTGTCAACGGTCTCGACTAGTTAGTAGCATGAAGGCGGCCAGACGGCAGCCGACTGCGTTCCATCGGGGCATGGCACGAGGGAAATCGGGCGATCGAGGCTGGATTCGGGTCATTAGCATGCCGAGGGGCCGTGTCATTGGCCCGAATCCAGGCCAACACAATATTGACGGGGATGCGATAGACACGTGCTGCATGTTCATGTGTCAGTGGACTTTCGCCGGCATTGTGAATTTCCTTTCCTCAACCACTTCGAGGAAGCAAAATTCAGGCGTACTGCAGAAAATGGGATCTCGTTTTTAGCATGTGGAAATTTACATCCGCTATTTTACTTTTCCCTTTCCCTTTCGGGGGGGGGCAGGGTTCTCTTCCATTTGGTAGAACTAGGAGATAGCCCTACCAAAAGAAAGATATCGACTAACAGAGCGAGATACGTGCCCTTTCTGTTGTTGGCGATTCCTCTTTTCCTTCAAGCTGAAAATTATCTGTCGTTTATTGAGGTTTAGCGTGCTGGCTCCTGTCCCACCCCCACCGTTGCCAGATATCGTGCCAGAGTTACGTCGGATTCATGACTGTTTCTGCCCCTTCACATTTTTTTAGTGCATGATACACTTTAGACCGGAGTTAATCTGATGAGCGGGCTTGAACCACACTGGTCAGCGCTGGCCATCCCTCAATTAACGGATAGGCGTAACGTCACGCGTCCTCACCGAGATATAAATCGAATTGGCTCGCAAGTCGAAGGTTGAGATTCTTCAGAGCAAGAAAAGGTACGCCTAGGCCTGACCTGGAGACAGTCCGTGACTTTTCACGCTGCTTCATTCATCTATAATATATTTCCACGTCCGGTCATTTCACCCAATGATTAGTTACCTAGGGTAAATAGTTAAATATGCAATTTGAAATATTGTACACCCTGTAGGAAGAACCACTAGCCAGAGGAGGCCTGAATGGATCGAAAGGAATTGGAGTGGAGAAGCAGAGGGGTCGGAGGGAGATGGAGGGAGACGGAGGGAGAAGGAGGGAGACCCCCCCATCATTTTCCTCCAGTCATCCATCTATCTGCGGGATGCGGCTGTGAGAGTTCGTGATGGTCCATCACGAACTGGCACTGGCATAATGGCACTGTGATTTCATTATGCTTCCACTTGTACATTGGGACGAAGAGTGCATACTATTTTTTGTTCTTTGGGAATGAAATTTTGTGCACTAAAATCGCTTCAGATTATTTTTGTGGTGGTGTTAAAAGTCATTTCTCGAAATAAAGACACTTCCTGACATGTTAAGGACTTCTTTAGCCAACTTCAAATTTTCGATCACCCGGAACTTTTCCCCCAGCCAACACTGGAGCAACTGATGATGAACACCCATGAATTTGACATTGTGGCCCACGACTGCAATTTATGAGAGGGCTGAGATTTTCATGAACTCAGATTCTGGATGGAACTTTGATCTCTACTTGGATGCGTTCATATAGGTACTGACGAATTTATAAAAGTCTCAGAGTTCGGTCGAGACTGGGGACTATCAATTCAACGCACCCGGTCGGTTTTCGGCCAATTGTCCGAACTCGGACCGAACCTAGAGGCTCACTTCTCCACGCACCCAGTCGAATTTGGGACAAATTGCCTACATTCATTTGAGACCAAAGCGTTTTCAACATAGGATTTCAATAATTTACTAGCAAACGTATTACTGAATTAAAAAGCTTTCATTATCCTACCAAGGTTTCAAACTCCTTCCACAAAGGGACTCGGGATAAGGAGAGAATGCGGATCCATGTCGGAGGTGGTCGGAGATCCATTTCCTGCCTGGTTGGATTCATCGAAAGCGTGATTTGGCCGTCAGCGATATTGATGACATTTAGCGGGGGGAGATCGGGTATCGGGCATCGGGTATGTATATATGTTGGGCTGATCTTTCTTCGCCCACTACTTCTAGAGTCTAACGAATGCCCTCAAGTATTGTCCCTACGGAGAGCTATCTCTACGAAACGGAACTTGGCGCGAACGAAGTGAGTATGGCAGCCTCTTAAACCAAAATTCTAATCGAGACATGTTCCTAATGGTTGTGTATTATTGGCTGTTTGTCCTCTGCTGAATACATTTCAACACTATCATTATGGGATTGCTGGGAACGCTGCACAACCCTCACAGAATTGCTCTGCCCTATTCTAGATAAATGAATCAAGTCTTGGACTTTTTCTTTTCATTATTTCCCACTCTGTTTTGCCTTTATGGAAATTGGGGGTAGAAGGCCAGATGGGGACGCATGCCATCTCGTTCCTCTGTTCACAGGGTGAGACAAAAATACTCAAGGAGATCCGTCACTTATCAAAGCATTCTCGATAATTAGTTTGAGTCGCAATAAAGTCTCTTTGAAGATTTATTCAGTTTTCAACTGTCAACAGATTCACGATCCACGCCGTAGTTCTCATGCCGAAGCTGAAAGTGCATGAGGGGTATCAGGCGAGTCGTTGGGACCTCCTCAGGCGACCATCCATGCCATTCGCTTCCGCGTTTCCAACGGTGATAGTTTCGATGGCTAGGAAACGGACCGAGGCATTGTGTTCTATGCTCTAATTCCTGCGATTATTCGTGGCCAAAACTCAACACGTGCGATTTCTGGGGACTGCTCCAACTGACATTTTGCAATCGAATCATTTTGCATTTTGGCGATGATTTTTCACGCAGCCGAGGTTATTTTAAAAATAATTTTCACATCTATTGGCAAGCAACAACTGCATTTTGAATTTCTTGAATTTGATATTCCCGACAAGGAAAGAGAACAACGATGAATTATTCATGGTCTTGGTATGTTTAACGCGTACATACAAAGGTAACTCTAGGAAAATTACTTGGAAAAAACAGAGAGGAAAAAGTGAGCATGGGAAAAGATTCAATCGATATGTTACGTAAGTCCTCCAGGGTTCGCGCCTACGGGGCTGGGGAGGGGAGAGATGCTCCTCGCCTGAGGCGGCATTTGATCTAGGGGAGACCTTGCCCAGGGGGGTCTGAATTTTGAAACGTTACCTAGCCAATGACCATCCCCGGGCTCCGGAATCAGAGGCAATAAGGACAAACACTCTGAAATATAGATTGTATTTATTGGTACATAGAATCAGCTTTTAATCTTGTGCAGTTTTCTGGCTACATTGTCTGGTACTGGTAATAGTACCGGTAGCATGAAATCCCTATACGCCAAGTATCCTACAGCATCCTATAGGTCAAATGGCCAAAAACCTCTAGCGTTTTGAAACACAAAAATACCTATAGGAATCCTATAGGACAGTGGTCGTCAAACCGCGGCTCTCGCGCCGCATGCGGCTCCAGGAAAGTTCAATTGTGGCTCGCGGTGAGATGCCGAGTGAAGAGCAATAGCGGTTTGGGAGATCCATAGGATATATATTTAATCACCGGTAATAATAATGAACTCGTCGCCAAATCTTTCCAGATTGATGAAAAATTGGCTGCATCGTCAGAAGACAATGAATCTTAACCAGATTCGTATTTTTGATGTCACCTAATATGTTATGTCCTAATATGCCCTATGTTAGTTGCTCCAATCGCCAAATTTGCATGAGTGCACACCAAACGCGATTCCATAATATGAGCAAAATTAAGATAATTTCAGCTTTTGTAACCCTATTAAGGGTATTAAGGATCCTATTGCAACCCTGTTTTTCTTCATTTCTTAAGTATGAGCATGTTTGCGACTGTACATGCTATTACAATATTGGTTTCAGCCCGTTGTCAACATATCGATAAATTTTTCAGTCTGCAAACGCGTCACGAAATCAATGAAATGTCTAGCAGTCCGCTTCTACCTATGCCAGTTTTCCTCATTTCGGTTCTTTCCGTCGGCCGAATATCATAAGGATGGAAATTTGGCTGTTCAGTCCGCAGACGCGGATGGCAGTGCCAAATTTGTTTCTACTCATCTTGCGGCTTGTCGCCTCGAAGGATTTCATCTTTCACCATGCTGCACATTCGGGATGGAGGTACGAAAACGTCTCATTCGAAACGACGGCGCCGACTCTCGGAATCTGCGGGATAAAATGCGTGACGCAGACGCCTCCCTGCTATGCCTTCAATTATCGGGAATCCGATGGATCATGCCAAGTCGTCCTCAACGGGGAAAGCGGCCTCGTGGAAGCCGACGGATATATCTCCTTCGCACAGTGTAAGTTCACTCATGAGATGCCAGCTGGAGGGATTCCAAAATGGCAGTGACGTGATTTCTCACGGTCGCAGGGCTGTGCCTAACGGAGCATCCGACGATTCCAAACACGAAGGTGTCCTTCGAGGGCTGGAGGGGAGAATATCCAGCCCCGAAGGGGGCGATGGTCACTCTCCTATGCGATGATCCCAAGGGATTCTCCGACGGCTCGCCTCATCACACGTCTCGTTGCTCCTCCGTGACCCCACATGCTTGGGAAAGCTCTTTCCAGGTGGATGCCGTCGAGTGTAAGGAAAATCCAAAGTTATGAAGTGCTTGCATATTTTGTCACTTTTTCTATTATTATTATTTTTTGGATTTTATCCGACTTGAATGGATTCGCCTTTTGTATGAAAATAATTTCCTAATAATTATAAATGTTAATAATAAAAACAATTTTCGATAATCACGGTGCTAAAGATAAAGGAGCGTTTGGAAATTTTTTTCCTCTGTCCCCATGAGCTTGGTCCGAAACTTTTTTTGCGGCTGCTAAGCACGTTGGCTGCTCGAAATCGATGGCGCAACACTTGGTCGAAACGTTTGAAAACACCGACGGCGTGCCGGATGAATAGTGAATAGGAAGGAAACGGAAGACGACGTGAAAGGAGGATGAGCTGATGGTGCAAGAATGTCAATTGATCGTCCACGAGGCCGATCTCTTTGAACGTTTCGACTGAGACATGCGCCGCCAACCTCGAGCAGCCAACATGCTTTTCAGCCACAGCCAAAAAAGTTTGGGACCAAGCTCATAGGAAGTGAGTAAAACAATTTCCCAACGCTGCTTCATCGTTAGCGCTATGATTATCGAAAAAATATTACTCCGTATTATTATACATTGCTACGAAAAATGGTATCTATGAAGAAGTGAAGCCTAAACTTTACGGATGATCAGGACCAAACGTATTCTGTTCACAGACATTTACCACAACCGGTAATCTCGCTTTGTTCCTCAGATAGACCAAATCTGTTTTGTCTTGTTTTTTTTTTTTTGCTCAGCACTGTATACTTTCTGGGATTGCGCGCAACGTGCCTCTATTGGAAATTCACAGGTGAGAAGCAATACATCTACCCAGAATGTCGCTTGACGGAGAAAGGAAGAGAATACATCGGGACAGAAAGGCAGACGGAATCGGGAAAGACGTGCCTGAGATGGGACACCCAGCCCTATGGAAAACCAGACGACTTCCTCGCCACCGTCGAGTACGACGACCACTTCCTGAACCGGGATGCTTGGTCCCAGCAGAACTACTGCCGGAACCCGTCGTGGAAGGCGAGACCCTGGTGCTTCGTCGACGACACACAAGTTCAATGGGAATTCTGCAATATCTCCATGTGCACGGTTAGAGGTAAATACTAGGATGCAGCTGTCTTCCACCGTTTCCTAATTGAAGCTTTTGCTCTGTAATTGTACGGTATATTGCAAATAGTTCATCGGATACATATATTTCTGGGATTTTTTTTTACATTGTTATACAAACATAAATTGTGGGAAATAACGTGAATGAATGAGTTGAATGTGTGATAAACTGTTTTCCCTCCATTGAATCAACCCATGACTTTGAAAATTTTCCCCAGTTTGATCTTCAGGTTTGAAAATTTCCACCATATATCATAAACGAAATTCTTCTTTTTCACTTTTTGAGACGATATGCATGATCACATATTCCCTACTGATTTTTTTTGTGCTAATGAGAAAATTCCTCTTCAGGAAAATTTATACAACGCCCCTGAAACTTTAATCGATCTTATAGTGCACTCCTAGGAGATTGTGCACAAAATAATTCATGAGATTGCCTGAATAATTGGTATTTTATGGATTGGTGTTCAGGATTGCTTTTTGCCTATGCGTATAATAGGTAATTTTTTGGGGGAAATGGCCCTAAAAAGTCAAACACAGTCAAAACAACCTCGAAAATACGAGGGTCACTCAATAAATTATCTACCTGAATAAGAAAGAAACATCCGAGGGGAAAAATAATACTTTATTTTTCAATGTAGTCACCTTTTAACTCGACACACTTATTCCACTTTGATTCCACGGATTTTATTCCCTGGGAATAGAAGTCAACTTCTTGTCCATCAAACCAATCAGAAACCGCAACTTTCAGCTCTTCATTGCATGAAAATATTTTTCCCCGCAAATATTTTTTCAGGTGTCTGAACAGAAAATAGACACTGGGAGCCAGATCCGGGCTGGAGGGAGGATGGTTGAACTCCTGAAAGCCACACTCCCTCACTGCTGCCTGAACTTTCCATGATTTGTGGACGGGCGCTTTGTCATGGAGGAGAAGGACCCCCCTTGAGAACTTTCCTCTGCGTTTTTCCTTGATGGCATCGTGTAAATCTTTCATGGTGGTAGCATAAGAATCGCCAGTGATTGTACACNCAATCGGTTGGGCATTGTTTCTTTAATGGGGGAGAATCATTTAGCATTTCGGACATAACAAAACTTTGGAAGGATTTGAACGTGAGCCTTCAGCCGTCATGAAAACTTGTTCATAAACGTTAGACATACGTTCATGAACCTCTTTAGGTGCTTTCCCTTCTTTGGTGAGGAATTTGATCACTGAACGATGTTCAACTTTCGTCAAATCCATGACACAGACTCAGGAAAAGAAATGTAATGCGCTACCACTTTGAACGGACCTGAGCCACTGAGCTGGTATAGTGGAGGGGCACTCACGAGACCTGTCGAGACATGTCACAGCAGCCACAGGCCTGTTGCTCATCCCTTTCATATTCAGGTAGATAACTTATTGAGTGGCCCTCGTACGTATGCACGATGCGGATGAAGAATGTTCATAGAACATCCTTTTCAAGTAGGTCCCCGTTCTGAAAGACAGGATTTCATCTGAATACATACTGCCATGTTAAATGAATACATATATTTTAAATTGTATGGAGTTATTAATACGTATAAGGGAAAGTTCCATTCAGAAAGGAAATAAACATTTACAGATAACAAACAAACCGCTGGCAGGCACATAGACAGAGGGACAGTTTGGTCAGGTCAAAAAGTCATCTCTATCGTGTTAAGAAAGAGGTCAATGATAAGTATTCCAGGACTGCAAATTAGCCTCGTATAAATTAGTATGGGATTTCATGTTTTCTCTATTTCCAGGCCACAATCGACAGTCACTGGCCGATGGTTACACTATCAAAATTTACCTCCGGACCGCGAGACAGCTGGGACATCAGTTAAATGGACCTTCCCACCAAACAGTTGAGCACATCTGCAATAGAGACCCCATAAGATTCCTATAGGAATTGTATAGTATCCTCTAGATTTCTCAGAAAACCTATTGGTTTCCTATAGGATTGCATAGGTATGCATTAGGCTCCCTATACGATCGATATGGTTCCTATAGGAATCTCATGAATCCAATAGCACACAATTTCCTATTGGGAGTCCAAGAGTAATCCTATGCGAATGTATTGGAACCCAAAAGGTCTTCCATAAGACCTATAGGGTCCCAATAGGAAACTCATCGGACCCTATGAGTCTTGGGCATTCCCTAGGCCATGGAGGAATGTCACCCTCCGAAAGCTGATCTTCGCTTAAAAAAAATATTGCTTACCACTGCTCCAGGGACTCAAGATTTATTTTAGGTAATCTATAGGAAACATGCATCCTCACAGGACTTTATAGATATTCCTATGTTGCAATGAATTATGCAGACCTCGGCAGTACTAGTATTAGTTATGCAAGTGCCCCTACCATGGGAAAACCCCTAATCGATAATTGATTTACACGAAAATGCTGCGCCAATCTTGATCCCTGTTGCCTTCTCCGCCGTTATGCCTGGGTTTCGAAACCCAAAAAATCCTCCCTGAATCCTATAGGTCCGGAGTCCTATAGGTTTTTCGTGTTTCAAAAACCTATAGGAAAATATATAGGTTTCCTAAAAGAAATAACTATAGGTTTACTATAGGACATTTCCGTAAGGGACATCATCTTCTCTCCTGTCACATATCCTTATGCAGTAGACGTTACAATTGTTTAGCATCTGATACCAAGGGTGTCTCTTGCACTAGACAGGAAATGATAAAGCAAACAAAATTTCTGGAACCTGATGAACCTGCATGAGAGGTTGAATTGATTTCCTTCCCAATTTCTGGTAAATAATTGTGGAGTTCTCTTGAAAAAGGCCGTATGTGCAAAAGATGCAATTCGAGAAAAATTATTCAATTCAATGTAAGGCTAGGGATTGTAAGTTCTGCAACTCAGTGATGTATAATTATAAGTTGTAGAGATGGGCACGCATTCCAAGATGTGTGTGTTTGTGTTGTATTGAGTCAAGTAACCAACTATAATTTAAGTGGAAGGATTGACGATAAAATGCAATCTTTTGGTTTTCCGATTTCGTGTGACCGGAAGTATGACGCCATTATGAAAATTCGGGAATTGAAAGATTTCTTTACGTGCATTCATTTGAGCTGGCGCTTGAAAAAAATTCTCGCAATAACAATTGCGTTGTTGCACTCACGATTACGCAATTCAGAAATAGCCACCAGGAGCACTGGGATATTTCACCTGGTCCAGAACTTCGGAGTTGTTGCATTTCTATGATTCCTTGTCGAAATTTCTTGCTGTAATTTCATTCTGAAAAGCAAATGGAACTATGAAAACAAATGCGGGCCCCATCAGGTTACTAACATATAAAAAATTTTCTAGTTTCATCTCACTTGGAACGCATCTCACTTTCCTATATTGAGCCATTGCATTAATATGATGCTATAATAAATGTGAATGGTACGTGGAATACAACTGGTAAACGCGGCTATGAATATTGTAAGATATTTCATTAGAGGGTACCGCTCTCAAGGCAAATATAACACCCTTTTATAATTTTTAGACTTTTGTGAGGAAAGACATGCCGCATGCAAAGTGCACTTGACTTTCGTGATGGATATGAATAGGGCTGTTCTCCAATCAAGGAACTTGAAAAGATCATGTTACATTTTTTTTTCTATGATTTTATCTTTTTCGACTCGCGTTCCCTCGTTCCCTCTGTCGCATATAGTAAATCCCTTTATAATACGTAACTGAAACGTAGTTAAATCATAAAATGTAACTCCCCCCTTACGCTAATGCCTCATAGGATCACCATATATTCCTAAAGGAATTCATAGGAATCCTTTAGGAACTCATAGTAGATTCATAGGAATCTGATATTTTCCGATAGAGCCTATAAGGAACCCTATATACCACATAGGGTTCTGTTTGGGATCTATAGGGTTCCCTATAGAACCAATAGCGTTCCCTGTAGAACCTATATGGTTCGTTTGGAGATGTACAAAACTCACATTTGAGAGATGATTCCATGGGTATGGGAAAGGCACTTTTGTGTACTTTGAGAAATGCGAGAACCACGTACCTCCATCTAGTGGCCTATAGGAGAACTTCAAACGGAACCCCATGGGCCGATAGGGCTCTGGATAGGCCCTATAGGGAACCCTATAGGTCCAATGGGTTCTAATGGGAGACCTATAGGTCCTATAGGGAACCCTAGTGGTTTTATGGGGAACGCTTCTATAGGGAATTCTATTGATTCTATAGGGAACCATACAGGTCCCAAACAAAACCCTATTAGGCTTATAGGAACTTATATAATTCCTATATGTTCCTTTAGGAATATATAGGAATCCTATAAGGCATTTTCGTAAGGGTAAGCTAACCACAAACAGCAAAAGAAAATAAGCAAAAAGATAACCACTGATCGGCACAGACAGACAGGCTGAACAGGCGAAAGAGTGATCTCTATCGTTTTAAGAAGAATACCAAAGGTAAATATTACAGGGCTGCCAAATAGGACAGCTTGAATTAGTATGCGATTTCACGCTTTCTTCATTTACAGGCCACAATCTCCACACAGTCACCGGGCGATGGTAATGCGATCAAAATCTGCCATCGGTCCGCCGGTCACTCGTGGCAATCCTAATTAATATTATCGAAGTGAATTCCGATTCAAAATTTTTTGTCTCATTGCCTTTTCATCGTGACCTTTGCAAGAACAAATACACATGAATAGATTCTCATTTACAAACAGATCCTCCTGAATTCAAGATGACTCAAGAGGGGGGCGAATACATCGGGAGAAAGAACGTGACTATTTCAGGCCTTCCGTGCCAGCCATGGAACACCTCGAAGCCCTATCCGGCGAGCGACGAAGTTGCATCCCATCTCCCAGGGTTCCCAGATGCTGAAGACATCGACGAGGATCACAACTTCTGTCGCAACCCGAATGGAGATGCTGCTCCTTGGTGTTACAGCGAGAAGCTGGATGATCCCGGTACGGAATTCTGCGATATTCCGTTCAAGGAAGCCCAAATCGAAGAAGGAGCAGAAGGGAATGTGTACCCTGAATGTAGACTTTCGGAAAAGGGAAAGGAATTCATTGGGACAAAGTGGATGATCCCGGTACGGAATTCTGCGATATTCCGTTCAAGGAAGTGCAAATCGAAGAAGGAGCAGAAGGGAATGTGTACCCTGAATGTAGACTTTCGGAAAAGGGAAAGGAATTCATTGGGACAAAGAGCGAGACCGAGACGGGGAAGCCCTGTCTCGTTTGGTCGGAGCAGAAAGAAAGAACTCCTTGGGATTTCTCCTGGAGTGGTAAGGAATATTATCATTTGAATTTCTTGGGCGGAGATCCAGCGACCCATGAGAATTTCTGTCGGAACCCGGGGATATACCGAGAAAGACCGTGGTGCTTCGTCTCAGACGCTGATATCAAATGGGAGTACTGCGACATCCCCATATGCCATGACCCGAGTCAGTCACATTTTCCTCTTAGATTTTCGTTTTTTTTTGTCTCGCTTTCGTATAGGAACCTTCCTTTAATTTTTAGAACCACTGGAATGTAAGCTGACAGAAAAAGGAGGAGAATACGTGGGAAAGAAGAATGTGACCCTGTCGGGGTTCCCGTGTTGGCCTTGGCTTTCTGGAGCCGTATTTTCCTTTGATTTCAGAGACAAATTATCGGCATTCTCAGATGAAGTGGATGGGAATCACAACTACTGTCGCAATCCTGAGCCCGGTCGCCGAAATCATGGTCCGTACTGCTATTTTTTTTCTGGCAGCACCATGACTTGGGAGTATTGTGACGTTCCCTTCTGTCCCGGAAGAGACGGAGAACAATGCAACATTCGAGTCTATGGGAAGTGCATCAGTGAGTGTTTCTTCATCGTTTTATCGATAAGTTTCTGAGTTGCCGACACTCAAACCGCCAAAAGTTTTCTTCTCTCGTATGGGAATAGGGACTATTAGAAATTTAGGTTAATATTTGAAATAAAGCTAAGAGAGTTTAGGAATCTACCGAAGTTCACCGAAACAGTACTGTAATCAGTAATCAGCGAAACGTTGGTTAATGCCTGTTCTGTATGGGAGCGAAAGCGACAAGTATATATGACAAGACAAGTATATATGAGGATTTCCGTATTTGTCTGACATCCCTTTCTATTTCTGAGGGGAGCATGGAGGAGGAGAGCAATATTAATCCTTGGTGATGGAGCAAATTCGCTCTTTTCCCAGAGTGAAAGGGGAGTTAGGGATTTCATTCTCATATTCGAGAAAAATCGCTCCCCTATTTCTAACGGTCTGTTCCGGTTCGGGAGGTAGGTGCGTCAGATCCCCATGTAGTGCTAGCGAGGCGCTGGATTAGGTCGACCCTCGAATCATGTAGTTTTTCACTGGTATTCATACCAGTAATGTGCGAATATATTCTTCCAGGTCCAGCCGAATGCAAGACCACCCAAAGCAGTGAGGATTACACGGGAACGAAGCAGACGACGAAATCTGGGCTCCCCTGTCAGCCATGGCTGAGGAATTCCCCAAACGATCTCGTGCCACTCCACTCTTTGAAGAAATGGAAATTTCCGGACGAATTGCACCCCTCTCACAACTTCTGCCGAAACCCAGATGCAGACGCAGGAGGTCCGTGGTGTTACAACGGCGCAGGAACTGACCCGCGTTGGGAACATTGCGATGTTCCATCGTGTTGAAATGTTCAACTGACTCGGGAAGAACATGAAATCATTCCCCGTGTCTACTGTTTCCAGTCTCGATCTCCCCTTTTGCACGGCATTCGGGTGTATTTTACTTTGTACAGACTCGTTAGAAATGGAAAAAGTCTTTTCATCGCATCTCTCTTCGTATATTTCCCACGAGATCGACCTCTTGCATCGTTGTTCTCATTCGGGACTTCATGTGTCTCCTTACAAAATCCGTCGATGAAGCACGTTTTTTTTTAAATTGGACTCCTATTACTTCTTTTTGGCAGCTTTTTTCGCAGATGATATGGAATGATGACCCCCGCCCCCAGCTCGTCCAATGTTGTTATGAAAATGCTGTGAGAGGTATCCTTTGCACTTCGAGTCGCTCCCTTTTGACTTTGGGATGGAGTCTTTTCACTTTCCAGGCTCTCGGGAAGGATAATTCGTTGTAACGAATTTGTTTTCGACGTCTCACCTCGTTTTGGGGGAACCCTGTTTTATTTGAGCAATTGCGCGATGGGTTTGTTTGCAGCTGGTAATAAAAATCTGGATGGGATGAAACTCTCTCCCGTTGAGAAACAGACATGTCAACATTTATCTCTCAATTTTCATCGGTTTGGCTTTTAGCCGACACATTCATGAGCAATCGAAACGAAAGTGAATGCACCATAGGAGTAACATTTTCCAAGGGTTTTTTCTTCAATCTATCTCTCCTTTTTTCTTAATTGTGACATGTTACTTCAACCCTGATTAAAGTTGCTTCTTTCACCTTTCAATCACAGTTGCAGTGACGAGTCAGAATAGAAAAGGACTTCATGCGTGACCCATGCAATTATTTTTTTCCCCACCCCCCCCCCCCCCCCGAGTCTGAACCCTCGAGCCAGGGACCAACCCGGAATTCGCCGCTTTGCATCATCATTCTCAGGCCATCATTCCCCTGCGATCCGAATGTCGACGTCAGCGTGGCCCAATCCGAGGAGAAACTATATCGAGAGTGTAGCTCCATACCAACTTGTTCGATGGACTTCGATTTCTTTGTTTTCCAATTTCCACATGAATCTAAGAAAATGAAAATGGTTCATTTTTACGGTTTTTCGTAAATTGTTGTAACTTGGAATCATTTCCCAAATCCGTCAAATTTTTCAGTTACATATTTTAATGTAAATGTTAGTGTGTATTTTTGTAATTCGAATATATATATTTCATTCGTAATAATACTTTCTGATTCTGTTTGCCTCTTTAAAATGGATTCAAAAAGTTGTTTTCGACAAAGAAGCATAATCAATTTGTATCGTTATTTGCACTTATATTTTCCGTCGAATTCCGTCGACTTCTAAGTGGTCAATGCTGAAATGCATTGAATCAGCGTTGGCTGAAGGTTGAAGTGAGACGGGTCATAACACTGTTATCGCTCTTTCCCAGTCCCAATCTCGAGATTACAGATGGCCCTCTCCAATCTCGACCCAGAATGGTCTAAGTTAGAGAGAATGGAGTTACCTCAGCGAACAAAAATATGGCTGGTAAATGCTGCGGATTCCAGCTCGGAATCTCTCCCGTCGGGTTGAAGAGGGGAAGGCGTCTCCTTATGGCCACGCGAACCTACTTCTCTCCATTCCCGGATTTCCCTGCGTCTCTTTGGCTTGGTGATTTTGAAAGTACTGGCGATTGGTCGCCATCTCGCCATCTCACTTGTAAGACGGGGAACATTGTTTATTCAAATGACTGCCAACCGACGTTACCTTGACAGGACATTAAGCATTCAACAGAAGTGTTGCGTGATACTAGCATCCTTGATATCTGCAGCATCTAGCCAATGCCGATTATCGGCATTAGTTCATCGGCATGAACATCTCATCTTCAGTCATTTGTCATCATTGTGTCAATTTTGGCATGCAGACTTGGGCGTAGTTATTGGATTTTGAACATGGCCTGTGGCCTGCAGAATGAGAGGGATGGCGTGAGAGGACGAAGGAGATACCAGGGAACGGCCGGGAATTGAACCCGAACCTCCCGATAGCCGGTCAGGTGTGCAACGACCTCACCTCCGAAATGGGGACATTCGGTCGCACCTCTCAATGTCATCCTTAGCACTACAATGGTCAGATTAGTGAAACCCCGTATCAGCGATTAATTTCATAAATGCTGTGTATGTTTCGTGCGGGAATAAAATAAAGACGCTATATCGTGTTTTTATCGACAGTTTGTCGGAACTTTCACCAATTATGAAGTCAAGGTCTTTTTTGAATGGTTTTCAAAGTGGAAAAGCAAAGGCATGTGGATGTGCTTAATAAATTTTCGTTGCACAAAATTTGAACGGCATCGAAACTGTAGGAAAAAAAGCGAAATTTCACCCTTTGACATTTTTTCGGTATTATTTATGCATACACAAAAATTGCGCAACATTTTCTCCGCTCTAGTGAAGCTCTTGGTTCCTACTCATAGTGTATGTTCACTTCGACCTATGGGTGATCCCCTCTTTCATCCTCAATCTCTAGGTAAAGTCTCTTAATCACTTACCATTCAGCTTCAAAAAAAATAAATAAAGGTTTCATTCGTACGTCTTAGGCCTACCTGAGTCGTGCCAGAAGCAGGAATTGCATGACGACGACTGGAAGCCTTGTCCGCGCTGCCTCGAGCAGCCGCTCCCTCCCTTCGTCTGCGATGGATCCGTCATCTGCGAGAGCTGGAAGGGAACTGGAGGATGTTGTCGACCCGCACTCCGAGCCAGGTCGGAGACTGCTCAGGCACGCTCAGTCGAGTCGCTCGGTTGCTATTGTAACTGCGGGCAAGGGGGATGAAGAGGAGGAAAGGAGGTGACAGACCGATGGCAATGTCTGCCTCTCTCCTCGGTACCTATGAGGAATGGCAGATGAGAATGGTGAGAACCGATTGCAATATCTCCCGTTTTCCCATAGGACCTCGTAGGAATGACAGATGAAGAAGAAAGGAAATGATGGAAAACCGACCGCAATATGTCACTTCCCATCGGTCACTATGGGAGAGGGAGATGAGAAAACATTCGTAGGACGTGGCGGAACCGCCCACTTGGTCCCGCCTTGTAACCACGTGGGACAAAAATAACGTATCATGTGGGAATCGCTATATGTTCCACAGTTTCCGCTGGAGAACGATCTCGACAGCGCGACATTCGCGGCTCATTCCTCTCTCTGGGAATGATTGCTCTCGTAGCGTGCTGCTGCGGGATTAGCTATTAGCTAATTGCCTATTCCGTCATGATATTTTTCCTTATCGTGGTATTTCATTGCTGTGATCAGGTTCATTTTCTGCAGCCGACGTCTGTTTTTCCACACGAAAAAGCAGGAAATGGTCGTGGTATCAGAACTCTGGAGTTCCGGCGTCCAAACTCTCCCAACTGAAGCATCTACTAAATAAATTGAGAATCGTATCCCGTCGAAAGGGAACGCGAAAAAGCGTCTGGAGTGCAAATTCCCGCCAATGCCATTAGTGGATATCATAAATTCTTACTTTTGATGGGTTGGTAGGCCGTCGCAGAATTCCTCGGAGAAAATGCATGCATATTTGGCGCCTGGGATCGTAACAGATGGGAACCAACTTTCGTCGGGTCCAGGTTCGCATGGAACGCATAGCTCCCTCCTTACTTTCTCTGCAAAAGCTACACTCAGAGAAATCGGTAAATCGAGATGAAATACTTCTCTCAATTTTCGCGTTTCGATTTATTTTTCTCAAGAGAAAAAGACATCAACTGGATTTTCGATTTAATATCTCTCACTTCCCGACCGTGCAGGGTCGCCTGAAAGGTCTAAAAGGCCAGTTGTCTCCCCCGAATGAGGTTCGTGTATTCGGGCTTTAAGCTCAAAAGCCACTATATACCCACAATAGGACATGCAAGGCAAATTTCGATGCGGCTGAAGTTCATCACGAAATGTTCGATGCGGCAGAAGCGCATAATATACCTGACCTATACACGCAGAATCAAATTAATGCATTTTCGTCGAGAAAATAGTTGTCCTCTATGTGATGCGTTTTTATCGCATCCAACATTCGATGCGATAACCGCATCCAAAATTCGATGCGATGAATACGCATCACATGCAGGACAGAAATGCATCGAACTGAGGCACTGAATTTTCTGTGTAATGGGGATAAGGGATTTTGTGACAATATTTTATTTTTAACCGAACATCTCTCGTTTGCTTGTCTTGCCAAAGTGCGTATTGACGTTGAGCTTTCTCGGAGAGAACCTGAGCAGCGGAATAATCGGCCTTCAACTGCGATTGGAGAAGGTCGCTTGCAGGCGATCTCTTCGCTCGGTTGGAAGATATATATGTGAAAGGATCGATTATCGCGAAAGGATCGATTATCGTGAAAGTATCTTCCTTCCTGAGATAACAGGCCTGAGTAAAGAAATGCGAATTCCATGGTTTCTCATACGAATCCTCACACGGATCCTCACACGGATCCTCACACGGATCCTCACACGGATCCTCACACGAAGATATCCGTATGAGGATCCCTATCGGACTTCAGCCTCTCTTAACACCCCAATGGAAGGGAAAAATAGCTGCCATATCCGAGACACAAAGGCCGAATGTACGAACCTCATTTAGGCGAGATAAAGGCCTGTAAACTAAAGAGCTCTTTCTCTCAGATAGCAGTCCATGAATTCTAAAGGACTGTCAAGTAAAGGAGATTCAAGCATTCCGGCCTAAATATGTCGTCCGTCTCCTTGCAGCCGGTGGAGGTCACTCCTTGGGTAATCGATGGGAGGATGGACGGAACCGAGCTCCTTCGGATCAATGAGCCTTTTGAATTTCAGGATTTTGAATCGTGGCTCTATTTGTTTCGATTTGACTATCGCGAAGAAGCTTAAAGCGTGCTATGGCCTCCTTGCAGGTCTTGATTTTAAGAGCTGTAGCTCCTTCGCAGCTGCTCTCGGCTTTATCCCCCCCACCCCCCCGCAGAATCGCCATCCTTCCCGATTCCTTTGGATGACACGAAGAGCTGCGGCCGTTCAAATCATGGGGATA